TAAATATCATTGTCTGCTTTGATAATCTTCCTTTTACATTGCAGGAATACACTGAGCTGGGACTTCAAAAGGTGTGGACTCTGACACAGTAGTACCATTTTTATCCGTTTATTTGTACTTTGGAAGGCAGAGGAAATACAGTTTACTAACCATGAACAGAGTATGCTTGCTCTTTCCAGTTTCATCTGCAAAATAAAAATAGCTTACAGAAAGACATTTTTTAGCTAACCAGCTTGGTAATACACAAAAAATGTTGTTGGGCAAGGCTTTCAGCTTTGAAAAGTACTCCACAGAACCCTGCTGCTGTTCCAGGCAGTTTTACATGCATCACTGCCCCACAACACCCAACGAACCTGCCCATTTTCCTCTGGCTGTATGTGTGGTGAAGCAGAGATTGGGGATCCCCATCATTCTCATTAGTGCAGCATGTGCTTCAGCTTATATGGAGATCTGTGACATCAGTGCTGTAGCTGGGGGTGAGTTATTGCAAGAGCTTTTAGACCTATCGTAGAATCAGAGAATACATAGGGTTGGAAAGACCTTAAGATCATCTAGTTCCAACCCCCTTGCCATGGGCAGGGACATATCCTAGGATGTCTCTATGTAATGGAGGGATAATGCAGAGGGGACAGCAACAGAGGATAAGGAGAAGGTAGAGAAGAGGGTTCCCATTGGTACCACAATTTTGAATATCATGTCTGGATTTGTTACAGCATCCCACCTCTAGTGCAGTGCAGAGCAGAAACATCATCCAATTCCATACCCTGAAATTTCAGTAAAGAAATTAAATCCTTGTAACCCTCACTTCATTTCCAATGCATATGGACAAGACAACCCAGACCTTTCAAAGGCATATGATGTGCCTTTGATGATGTGCCTGTGCTGATGTGCTGCTACTCTGTGGCTGAGGGCTGGGAACAAGACAGGAACATCTGTATCTCTGGGATACAAATCCCTTAACTTTCAATTAAGTTGTTAATGGAAGCATGCTGAGCTGCTGAAATTACTTCTGCTTCTGTGGAGCCAGATTCTTGGGTGCTCATTCATTGCCTATAATGCCTCTGCAGTAAACTTCTGCCTCTGAAAGCTCTGAGGCTGAAATCCTCAGTGGTTATCTAAATGCATCTAAATGCTTTTAATTTAAAGGGCAGCTGGGGATAGGAACCACAGGACTTCAGCAGAGTAAGGTGTGCTTAACTGCCTCTGGAAACAGGATCTCCAAAGTTTAGAGGGAATATCTGTGTGAGAAAAGGCCTTGGAAATCAACAGCCAAAACGTGTACACCTTAGAGTGATGGAAGACCTGGCTAAGGAGGCAGCTGCTCAGAGCCCTTCATTGCATGTGTCCCTTTGTGGATTTTGCCTTGGTTGCCTAAAGGCCCTTGGGGGTCTGGACTTGAGTAAGAACATTTGGATATGTTTTGGTTCCTTAAAGATCTCATAGTAACTCAGGGAAAACCTTTGACAGAACTAGAAAGTGGCAAGGAAAGGCTTTCAGATTTAACATGGTCATAGGCTCCATTCAAAACCCACTGTAGTAACTGGATCATTTCATTGGCCCATACTGCTGATAGTATACATTCTGCTCAGTATCATAGCAGTTAAGATGCAGATGAAGTGAGAATTGTGAAAATTACCTGAGTTAAAGTAGATTTTTTAACAGGATACAGAAGCACTGTACCACCTCCTGCTCACCCGCACCCCGTTCTGCACTCCAGCTCCTGCCTCAGTGCTCAAAGCTCTGATGTTATATGAGTGCCGGAGTTGTCACCGGGCATGTGCAGGCAGTGTGTACAGCTCTTTGTACACCAATTCTGGCTTTCTCCGTTTTATAGTAGAATTTCCCTTTTAATAGAAATGAATCTCAAAACGTGATAGAACATTGCATGAAAATTGAAGAACCACTCAGGCCAGTGTGTAGATTCACCCCACTGAACCCGACAAATGAAGGAGACACCCTTCTTTTTTTAACCTACCACATCACTGCGGAATTTGGAGAAATACACTGCTTTGGGTTGTTTTTTTTCTTTCCATATGCTAAACCTTGAGCCACATGCTTTATATGCTTTATGCATATTCTCTAGTATATGCATTATGCTTTTTCAGTAACTCGCTCCCAGAGGTCATCTGAATAGAGCTGGTCACAGAGTTGTCTGTGAGCATCATCACTTCAAAGATGCTAAAGCATCTGCAGCCAAGCAGAGAAATATTCCTACATATTTGATCAGTTTCCCCAAGACTTAAGTTACGTACAATTTGCAGATGCTGTTCACTAGATACTTCTACTCCAGGACCCTAGAAAAGCCCCCATATACCATAAGAGTGTCCAGAAACACTCTAGGAGCTAAGAATCTGCAAGACAATCTTCTCCACTATGTAGAAGCAGAATAAGGGATCTTTTTTCTCTCCCTTTTTCCTTTCCTAATTGATAGTTGTCTGTAGAGAAAACACTTTCTTCACATGCCAGCACGTTCATCTAACTGGTCAGGAAAGGCACAGTCCAAGAAAGAGATGAGACTAGAGGAGCAGAAACAAAGGAATGATCAGTGTTTGGTCACCCTTGGAATTCAACTGCTGTAAAAATCCCAGGCAGGTATTGTTTGTCTTGGGTTTTGGATGAAAAGGTATAAAACAGGAGACAATGCTGGTGTGTAGAGTGCACTTTTCAGTGGTACCATTGCAGCAGAAGGGAACTAATTACTCTCGTAAGTTGATTGATCACCTGGACAAGGGTTTGGAAGGGAATGCTGAAACCACTGGCCTGCACAGTAGCTGTAGCCTCTGAAAATCCTCCCTGTGTTCTTTACTTATTTCTGAGGCTTTCACTGAGCTCACGCCAGAGTGCTATCCTCCCTCCTTATATTCCCCCTGCCAAGTATGGGTGTTTCTCTTCTAAAGATCCCTGTCTCCCACTGCTACTAGACTAGTCTTAAAGTAGTTAAAGTCTGTGTCTTTACACTTAGCTAAGGCCTCCCATGGAGGCTTTGACAGAAGGATAAGGTTTTCACCATAAGAACAATCCAGGAAGGTCTGGTAGGTGCAGTCAATGCAGGCCTGAGCTGTATCAGAGAATCCGTATCTCTTCGTGTGTGTTTACAAGTCCAGTCATGCTTACAAAAAAAAGATTAAAGGTCAAAAATCAGAAAGTACAGAAAGAGCTGGAACAGAACCTTGAGGTATTTAAGGCACCATCAGTTTGGATTATCAGAACATAACAGGGGCTGGGTTGAGCACAACCCCGTAAGTTATATTTTAAGGAGCAGGCAATATCAAATACCTCTTTCAGCTGTCGGAAAAGGGGCATAGAAGCTGTGGGTGGACTCTGATCCATACAAAGTTAACTAAGAAAATCACAATTTTAACAGCAATGCTAACCTAGACAAACCACCACTGGAACGGGTACACGCCAGATGCCTCCACACCATGTTCAGGTATCTTCCTGAAAATATACTTGGGAATTGAGATGGACCTTTTCTGGGGTAACACTGCGATTTGCAACCCTTTAGGGTTAATTTACAACAGGACAATATTCTGAATGGATGGAGGGGGGCAAAGTTTAACCCTGTGCTCTTCTGTGGGCAAGAGGAAGATCTTACACTGACTGTAATGCCACTGAGCCAGAGAAGTGATCGTATTGTACCTCTTCCACAATGCAAAGGTTATCCAGAATGGGGTCTGAAAAAACTGGTATCAGAGACAACAGTTTTGAAGAAAACTCTCAGGTTAGGACCCCTTTGGCCATGCAGCAATGACATGACCCACACAGCCACATAGTAAAAGCAGCTGGCTGCACCTGAAGTTTTGTGTTTTTAGGGCAAGATACAGTATCCAAATGGTCACTGGGCCTCCTCAAAGGAAAAGCAGCAAAGGCTTGCCATGTTCTACAGATGTGTTTACCCAGACAGTTAGTAGCACCCAGTTCTGTATATGCTGTGAGATCTCCAAGATCCCCCATGAAATCTGAGTGTGCTGTTCAAGAGCTTTCACGGCTGACCACAGCAACCACCAGCCTGCAGTGAAAGCTCTGGATGGGGAAATGGAAAACTGAAAATTGCAGATCCACTTCCTTGGCTGCTACAGAAGTTTCCTCCAAAGTTACATTACTAAATGCAATACTTACTAAGAATTGGAGTTTCAGAAAGCACAAAATGAGACGGCCCCACATTGGGATAATTCAGGTTTGTATTTATTTTAAGAGCATGAAAACCTCCACAAAATTGTGCTGGAAATAATAGAAACAAACATTATTTGTGTATAGACCCTGCACTGCAGTGGGACTTCAGTGGCAGTTTGAAACTTCCATTCTTAAGAGGTATATTTTCTTGCACCTGGGCCACAGAAAGAACAACTACTGTCTCAAGTGTCTTAAATCACAGGTTTCTTGAGGGGAAAATAGCAGCTAAAAACCTACATGGTACGGTCATGTAAAATATTTTGTGAAGCTACAGCCAGTTGCAGTGTTCACTAATAACGGATATTAAACATGAAAGCATTGCTCTATATTGTTTATCTCAGCTCTCATCTTTTGCACTTGTATTAATGTTCATTGGCAGAACATATGTCCCTGTTTTCCTATGCTATGTGTAGATTCTTCTTTTTGAATAAATGAAGTTCTGTAACAACAAGCCCACACTTTTGCTTGGTTGCAACATGTCAAGGGCAGAAAAAAAGAGTGCTAAAAGGCACCTTGGTCACTATTTTTCATAATCAGAGACTATTAAATACAATCTCCCATTTGCACCCAACTTCAGTTTCAGGGTCATCTCATTAATTTAGCTTTAAATTAGGATTGAATATATTTGTAATGTTGTTTGCTGTAGAGAAAACTTCTGACTAATCATTGCATTGTTACTGTTACAGAAGTTTACATTGTGTAGCTTCCATTTCACACAAAGCCCACCAGCAACTCCCAGTAAATGCCTCACTTCAGTGTTTTGCAGGCAGGTAGAGAACTTGTTCTTTTGCACTGCCCACAGTTCTAGCCATTTTTTTATTTTGCAGTTCTTTCCGTATGGAGACGCTTCAAAGTTTGCCCAGCACGCCTTCCGCACCTTTGATAAGAATGGAGATGGGACCATCGACTTCAGAGAGTTCATTTGTGCACTGTCCATCACCTCACGGGGCAGTTTTGAGCAAAAGCTAAACTGGGCCTTCAACATGTACGACTTGGATGGTGATGGTAAAATTACAAGAGTGGAAATGCTGGAAATCATAGAGGTGAGTCCAGTGTGGCACTTAAAAATAACCTGTCTGAACATTAACAGAAATTGATTAATTGTTCCCATACCCTTTAGCTTTTAAGCACACGAATAGCTGTACCTATCTTTAAAAACACAGATTACATACATTCGTTCTACACTGACTCATGTGTCAGTGGTGCAAGCAGACTGAGACTTTTATAGATGTAATTTTTTAGCATTGCAGAGAGTACGTACAAGCTTTTAAATACCAGAGGTAATTGGTTTTTTTTCTCCGATGAACAGATTAACCATACAAATAGCACAGCAAAGGATTTACAAAGCCCATCTCAAAATCACTTACCACCCATGAAATTACTGGTTTGTAGCTCAAGTAGCTGAAGCCCCACTGGCGATTAACTTCAGATGATTATGAAAATGTACAGGGAAAACAGCACCCTATTTTCAGTGAGGTCACACAGATGGGCATTAAGATGCCCACAGTGCATAATACAGATGAAGTTTACTGCCATCGTTATCTACCAGCTACTCACCACAATAGTTAATACCAGATTTTGCTCCCATGAACCCAGAGAAAGCTGTTAAAGGGTGATAATTTCCAACACTGATTATTCAGAATTCCTGTGAAATATTTCAGTGGAGTAATTACAAGCCAAATAAACAGTTGATCCAGAGAATAGGTTACAACAGTTTTGCACTCTGAAACAGAAAGCCACAGAAATTCATTCTAGAATGCAAAATGTAACCACTGAAATAATCTACATGTAAAGAAAGTAAAACACATTCTTCCTTGTTTTAAATGTATGGACACCGGATTCTAATGAAAAGAGGAAAAAATCGCTTAATCCTTTGGGAAACTGACAATCCTGTTATAGCTGGAGTATCTTTCCAGAATTTGATCACATCAAGAAATCAGGTTAGTTTGTAAGTTGAGTTTTCCATTTTGGTTTCTTTCCAAAGGCCATCTACAAAATGGTGGGCACTGTGATCATGATGAAAATGAATGAGGATGGTCTGACGCCTGAGCAACGGGTAGACAAGATCTTCAGTAAGATGGATAAGAACAAAGATGACCAGATCACACTGGATGAATTCAAAGAAGCTGCAAAGAGTGATCCTTCCATTGTATTACTCCTGCAGTGTGACATTCAAAAATGAGCTTGTGTACAATGCGCCATAGACTGCACAGAAGTTTAATGTTCCATTCAGTTTGCAGCTATTTCCACACACACAAAAATTTGCTTGGACTACCTATAAATGGACTTGCTTCTTGTGTTTGAAACACTTGTGTGCATGAGAATGTCATTTGCTAAAGAATTTTAAAAGTATATATTATAAAAATAAACTGCCACAACGTGAGGTGTGCAATGTCATTTCACAACAACCCTATTCCTCTGAAGCCTGTGCAGCAGTCGTGTGCTGCAGTGAATTATATTATTTATTGTTCATGTTTTACTGATGCTAGCTCTGTGTCTCCTAGACTGAGTAATGTTAGTGACACTGAATTCCCACGGTAATGTTAACTGTTTACTAGAAATCATGTCACCATGCTGCTGTAAAGTAGTACTGGACAGACAAGAGGGTAAGAGTTCTTCAGCTCTTAAGTCTGATCCACAAATGTGCTTGTATTGTCAGTGGATATAAATGTACTTCATTTGCATGCCTTTTAGGTTTGCCTTAATTCTTACCTCATTTGCATCCCTTCAATCTGGAAAGAGCTATGTCAGAGGAATGCAATATAAAAAGAAAAAAAAATCCTGCTAAACTGATCCCTTTAATTAAAAAAATATATAAATATATATATAATGTTTAAAATATTGTTTTATTGGAAATTTAAAGGTTTTATTGGAAGTGTATTGATCTTTGCCTGAATTTTCAAAAGCTTCCACAGAGGTTGCAATATATATGTCCCAAAATAAATTTATAACATTTGACCTTTTCCCCTAATTCTTATTTCACGTCTTCAGCCTGGTAATAGACAAAAAATATCAATTTTGAATTCTCTGTCACTGTACTACTGAGAAGTATGTATTTCATTCTGAAAGCATGAAGAAAACCTCTTTGCACTCACTCACCTGAAGAGTCATATTTTAAGAAACCAACATTTGTATTTGTATTTACCAGCAGAGCAGCTATTCATCCTGTAAGATGCTAATGCTAAGATTTAACAGTAAACTTGCCAGACCTGTGCTTATGTAGCTTTTTGAGCTAGCTGGAATTCAAATACGGTTTATTTGCTTGGACCTAAACCTGGTCTTCTAATGTTTTTCCCCTCACTTAAGTGTTATTTCTTCTTATCATGTGACACTAACCTACCCTTGGTTTAATATAAATAGACATGTTGTTAAAAATCATTACTGGCAAATTCACCATAAAGTACGATGATGTGAAGTGATAGTGAAGAGAACCACTTTCCTTCTCAATTCAATGTATATCAGTCAAGTTTATACTGTGGCAAGTACAGGTCTGCACAGCTGTGGGAAAGCACCAAGAACCGGCAGACTGCAGAAATTGCAGATAAAACTCTTTTCTACACCACATTTCCTAGCTGCATACAGGATTACAGCAAAACAAGAGTGAACATCTCACAGTTGCATGTTTGGTATTTCTTCTTTACCTTATGAAGAAACAAGCTGGTACTCTTAATAGTTAAACAATAAATATGACACAAACCAAATCATTCTCTGTATTTTCAGATTTTAAAAGTGAAGCTCATATTAAAATTGAGGGCAAAAACCCCAACAAAAAAGTTTTACATGTTTTGCTAATAAACATGGGGGGCAGGGGGCATGGGACACACACAGAATCAGTTGTTGCCACAACCACAGCCATCCGTGCTTAAGTTTCTTCATACTCCAAGCAAACAGCAAAAGACAGAAATTTCAACTGTGTTTTTTAATACCAGGATTTCACTTAGACTATACAGGAGGGTGGTGCTGTGTACATTTGGCTGTAACTTAAAAAACCCCTACAGTCTGAAAACATTCCATACTTCTGAGAATGATACGCCCATTGTTTCCCCTTAAATGTAAATTACTAGTTGTTGAATATTTCTGGGAATTTATGCCTTTCCACTTTATGTATACTTACTAGAGCAGCAGTACCTCTTTCTGCGTTTTCCTGTACCTCAAATTAATGTAGCTGGACAGGCTCCATTTACTTTAATGCAGCATTAAGCAATGCATTGCCATCCAAAATGGCCAACAAGTCAAACAAAGTCACAAAATGTAGTATCAGTACTGCGATCCTCCTTCTAGGTAGATGGTATAGTGAAATTTGTATTTAAAGTACCAACAATGAGATAGTTTTGAGACCTTAGTAGGATCACTGCAAAAATAAGTGCATCCAAGAAAGTGCTTCAATAATCATTTATTCAGAATTAATCTTCTGCCATGAAAACAGTTGCTTATAATTACAGTCAGCACATATTTGCATCCAAGTACTGTGGTATATCAGAATAAATACAATACATTGCTTTGAACCAAAGACCGGAATTGTTGCCAATTGCTCCGATATTTAAAGTACAGAAAACACGGGAGAAAGCTGAAGTGTGAGCTCAGGAGTAATGCAATAATTACCTTTCCTGAACCTCTTCTCCACATAACTCATTATAAACATACTAATGAAGATAAATGCTTTTCTCTCTCCTGCACTCTTGCTTTATATTTTTTGTGTGCTGAAGAATATCAGAAGGAAACAATGCTATACCATTCTATCATTCATACTGTAAAAGGGTCATAAACCATGTTCTAGTTTCATCATAAAATTGAGCCAAACTAAACATGTGGCTCATGATCATGTAATAGTATCAAGGACTCCCAGTACAAACAATCCAGGCTTGTGTTCCAGACAAGTTTTGCCAAATCTGCACTTTGTATGGTGATGTGTCCCTACACCAGCACACCCCACCCCCCTCCCCCAAGTGTTTTCACAGAATCCTAAAGTTGCATCTTTAACACATATTCCATCAACTCACATGATTATGGAGCTGCTGAGTTTGGTAGGACCTCCAGAGGTCTCCTGTCCAGCTCCCTGCTTGAAGGAGGTGCAGCAGTCCATTTAGATCCCAAAACCCTTCAAGGATAGAGATTTTACAGCCTAGTAGGACATGCTCAAATGCCTCGTATCTTCATTAGGAACAATCCCTACCTCTGGTTTATCCAGCCAGAACCTCTCTCCCCACTTGAATTTATGACTCTTGTCTGTGGCTCTTCTGCCACACACCTCCACAAAAAGCCTGGCCTTGTTTTTTCAGGAATTTACTCAAGGGCGTGACAGGCCTGTTGGACCATCACCCTGTGCTTTCAGAAATAAACATCTGAAGCTTTTAAAAGGTCACCAGAATTAGTTCCTACAGTTCAAACACACTAGAACTGCAGTTAACTTTCTCAGGCTGGTTTTGGCTGGGGTATTTCCTTCCCTTCTTACCTAGCTTCCATCCAGAGATACCTACAACTTTAATACATGCTTGAGAAAAAAATAAACAATGTTAAAGACCACAAAATACGCGCAGCAGCTGAAAACAAAATTGGCTACAAAGTCAAGTTTAAAACTACACTGCAATGAGGTTTTATTGAAGAACTGCTGTTTAGGAAATAACTGTAGAAAGTGCAGAACTGTCCTCTGAATAGTCTCAGTGGTTTTTGTATCCCCATAATGTCAAAAAGCAAAATGTATTTTTGATGGCTAAACTCTAAAAAGTGATTGTTTTTGAAGAGCTCCCAACAAATTCAAGTTCCTGGAGAAAGGAGAAGAAAACAAAAAAGGTTAATTTGGGGCAGTATGAAAAATCTGGTGGTTCTTTTTCCCTCTAATCCCCCCAAAATGTTTGTATTATTTAAATAAAGCAAGTTTAATTTAACTGCTCTACTATAGTCCTGAAGGAGGTGGAGACACCCAACAAAACGCAGTCTTATGAAATGCCATATAAAAGTTACTGTATTATTTCCCCAAATTCTTATTCCATTTAATTCCTCTATTTTGGAATTACTTCTGTCCCTTTGGTTATAATTAATATCTGCAGTTTTAATATATACTTGCAAACAGAGGCTGTTCAAGAATGGAGTTTATTTGGGTCAAAAAAATTAAGAGTTTATAAAGCCACAGGTTCCTAGGTTTTGTAAGCCCATGTTCAAGGAAACTCAAACTCTTCCCTACAAACTCTTTAGGAGGAAATAAAAGCACTTTCTTCCTGCCCAGAGAATATACTGCAAATAAGTTTTCACTTCTCGAATTATGAAAATATACACTATAAATGCTAACATGGTCAGCTGCTGTGGTTCCACTGGAAAAAAAAGAAACATATTTTACTGCATGTATTTATTAACACACGTTTAAGAAACAGAGCTAGAAAGAAACATTTTTAATTTAACGCTAACTTTTAGAGCGTAGAGACGCTAAAACATTACCACAAGGATCAGTTCTCACTGTTTATTAAAATATTACTCCACAGTTATATAAAATAACATTTCGTCTTTTCCAGAAGACAAAACAGAACAACTGATTAAAAAAGTCAGTATACTAACAGGTAGTTAAAAATATCAGCTGAACATTTAGGATTTTCTCATCATAAAAACTGTGCTTATTATTGCTCTGTACACACACAGTAATTCTTTTAAAAAAAAATTGTAATTAAAAAAATACTGGAACCTCTTCCCAAGAGTATCTAACAAAAGATCCCCTTTTCAGCATCAGGAAATAGTAACTTTATACACATCATTACACATTTATCCTCAATAATATGCCATATTCATACAGAGAAATACTTATTGATCTTCCTCTTTGTCATTCCTATTTTTGAAATTCAGTGTTCTTTGGCCTCTTTCAGGATCTTGCATTCGGAGGATTCGAATACAGGAACTTGTAGGCAGAGAGCTAAAAATAAAGTATGCATCATTTAAACAGTGTTTCTTCCCCACAGATTTTTGTATTTCCATTTAATTCTTTTCATCAACATGTTTTCCTTTCAATAACTCCCATCTTTTTCTCTGAAGGTTTAAAAAACAGTAACATGGGGTGAAGCTCTGGCTTCACTGAACTGACAACTGGAGCCAGACTTCAGTAAAAGCTTGAGGTAAACACGATTTAAATTGTGCAATTCTAACACTTAGACTACTTCAATTATAGAAATGGTACTTTTAAGAGAAATTCCAAATGAAACAATGATCTTACACAGCTCATATCTGCCTTAGAATTCTGATGTGACACACATTTTATACACGTAAAATCACATCACACTAAAAAATGAGCAAAGTTACTAGACATACATTTATACAGGTTTCTCCACCTATTATCTTAATATAGAATTTTTCTGGAGCTGCCACCATACTTTCATTAAATTAAATGTTTGCTAAACATGCAAGATGTAACAAAATATAATAAAACCAAGATGCACTTGAATTATTAAACTTCTAAGTATAACTTTTAACCATACAGAAAATTCCTGTATGTTTCCTGAGTGCAGTTTCAGAAATTCCCCACGAAGAATTTCCAACAGAATACCATTATTCTACTTCTTACAGATTTATAATAAAGAAAGACAAGAGTAAATCAACTATATTTTACAAGTATCTTTGTAGACTGCTTAACTATCCTCAGCAGGCTTCACTAATTACGTCTGCCTAATAGGAGAGTTGGCTGCATAAGGCTAGATAGTGACTGTCCCTTTAAGCTGGGTATTGCTTTACCAGGGATGAACAAACAAAACCCCCAAGGAGTTTGTTATCAGTCTAGATAAAAAGAAAAAAAATCAAAAGACAAACATCTTGAACATACTGGAGCAAATAAGAAAAAATGGGAAAATACAAAGTCTTCTGTTAATTCTGGGGGTGGAAAGAGAGATACAGGGCTAAAAGCTACCAGGAGCCTACTATACACAATTAAACATTTCCAAAGGCTGTTCTACTCAAGATAAAATGATTCAAGTCCTACTGAA